AAAATGCAAATTACTTAGTACTCTTTAATTCTGGTAGCTCATATGAAGATGTCTCTAAAATTATTCGTAGATATACAGATGATGTAAAAAATACATCAATAGTTATTAACAGCTACTTATGCAAAGGCAAATTTATTGTATTTGATCTAGATAGGCTTGAGGATGATCTACTTGTAATTCGGCTAAGGTTTGATACTCCACTAGATTTGCAAAAAGAGATAGAGTTACAGCAAAAGTGCAAGATGAAAAATATATTATCTGCTAAACCCACTTCATAGATTTTTATTTCACATTGGTATTTTCTATTCCAGAAATTTCATAATATATTTCTCAATTGTGATCTTAAGAATAGCATTATTGCAAAGCAATGAGGCTCTGCTTCTAGGAAAACAGTGGACAACTACCTATCTATATCTTCAAGAGTATCAGTAGAAGTAGCATAGCCAAAAAATATTATATAAATAGTATAGGTATTTTGTACTCGCAAGGAATTAATAAATCGAATAAATACTATGCTTCTATCTCTAAAAGTCGCTTTTAAAATCTAATCTGCAATTGACTCTTTTTAGAATCTATCCAATTAACTGGGATATAATATTCTTTATATTGACTATTAATAATAGAACTGCACATCATGGAATTGTTTTTATATAATTCAATCCATTTAGTATGCCATTGATCAAATTGTTCTCGAGTCTGAGGATTTTTTACTTTATGTCTCATTAAACCTAGAAGTTTTTCATCATCTGAGGTATCATTATTTGGTAAACTATTCCAAGCAAGTTGTGCATTTGATAGTTCCCTTTCTCTAAAATTTCTCCAAAGTCTTTATATAACTCTTGCACATCCAAACTCAGTTCGTGGTCTTGAGCATCCATAACTGGTTTGTGGTCTTAAGCATTCATAATCATAATGATCTTTTATTAAATCGAATTGACTTGCTTTCAAACCTAAATTAACATTGACATGCATAAGTTTCATACAATGAAAACATATTGTAGTACCATCTTCATATGGTTTACCTCTGCTGTAATTATATTTATCAAAATTCGTACCTTGAATGTGTGAAGCATGAAGGCAATACTGATGAAATGTAAAATGTAGACCTTCTGAACCTATTAACTCTTGAAGAATAATTCTAACATGACAACCCTACTGAATAGATATTTCTCCTTCAAAGATCATACTAATGAAATCATAAGGCCTCTTAGCATCGATAACTCTATTAAGAACATTATATCCATCAGTTCTTGTAATCTTTTAATTTATATTGTGTTCTGCTCTCGACATATTTAATAATTATATAAGATTTAAGTATATTTAGAGGTATTTTGACCTATCAGATTTGGTACAATATATATGATTAAAACCAGATTCATTTTTAGAACAAATTAGGTTATTAGATGAGTTGTATATATTTGTCATATTTTGTAAGTGATATATAAATGAGAATGGAAGAGATGCATATTGGGTTGTATTGAGAATTGTAAACTCATATTAGCAGAATTATGTAAAAACTACACGTTTGAAGAAGATATGAATTTATTTATTTAATTTTTAAATGTACATTATATATTTATATGTAATACAATAAAAATATATTACATTTCTACTAATTACTTATAAATCTGGAAGTGGATCTTCTGCCCTCAACTCATACCTAGCACGTACCAAAGAAATATAACCCCTTTTACAATCCGTTAATGAAGGAGGAATTGTTATTTGCTTTTTTTTCGGCTTAAAAAATATAGTTCTGGAATTCAATCCTTGAGCATTATTGAGATTTTGATGTTTAATAAAAAGAACATCATGCCTATCAGCATTTTTCTCAATCCTATCCTTCAGATTATTGTATACATTATCAAATTTCTGTAGATTATGAAAAAAGGTATCATGTACAAAGTATACAATACTATGACGAATACCTTTTGTAAGTGAAAAATTACTGTGCAGTAGAAGACGCGAGAAAAATGCTACAACTTGTCCAGGCTGAAGTGGTACAATGATCTGAAGTTGAGGGAAACATAATTCTCTTCTCTCAAATTCTCCGAGAGCGACCAAATAGCATAAACTATTTGGTTCATCGTGTTCATCCCAATGGTAATCACTAGTTGTATTGTAATTAATAGTGATCATCAGAAAGATTCCAAAAGGTTGAGATGCAAAGGGACCCCACGCCAACTTCTCTAGTTTTTCATATAAATTTCCATAGAATTTTTGTATAAATTCATTGACAGAGGCTGATAATGGGCCAAGATTGCAAAGTAAAGTGTTAACGTATTCTTGATGTGTGGTATTATGAGAGCTTGCGGTATTTGAACTAATAAATGAGAGAAGATTATTTCATGTGTATGTATCAAAATGTTCTATGAAATTTTTCCAGAATTCATTACTACGATGGAAAGAGTTATTTAGGGTATGAAAATAATAATGGTTTACATATCCGTTGCTTGTATAACTACCCTTGAATTATTTAGTACTAAGGTTCTACCTTCTATATCCTAACATACTCTGAAATGGTTAAATAGTGAAGTTTTACTAATTTTTTAAACGAACAGAGATTACCCCGAGCAGATATTATTAAATGAGCTTTCTCTTTTCGAGAAATATATGAGGTGGTTCTTAAAATATCCTGTGATTCATTGT